AACACAGGGGCTGCGGTGGCAGTGACAGTGACGATTCTGTGTCGAATTAATCAGGACGAGAGCTTGAAGTCGAAAATCCAAGTGAAAAGTGCTTACACTGCATCAGGAGTGACAGTTGGCTGAAGGAAGCTTGAGCAATCCGCTTTTCGGTCCACTCGAGTCTGAGTCTGACCTGGTCGGGTACCAGTCACGGCTCGAAGACAATTATCGGCGTTGCATTTTGCTCTTTGGAAGAGATTCTTGGAGTCGGTAGAATCGTGAGGTACCGCTGTTGCGATCGTGGCCAGAGACAGAAAGATCAGTGAAGAAAGCATGTTTGATGTGATATGCTGAAGCGCCGGGGCGGAATAACTGAGTAATAATATGATTGTTATGGAGTTAAAGTACCCAAGGACTCTGCCGGTATTTATATGCAATTCGTAGACTTCTGTGCTTCTAGGATCGATATGAAGACGCTGTCGAATTATGGCGTGATTTCGATATTGGACAGTGGCACGGTTAGACCTAGACCGTAAACTGTTCAGCTTCTCCAACGAACGCCGTTAGGGAACCAAAAGAGGTTGTCTACGCTTCAGACTGAAGTAGTGGCGTACAAATCTGTACCGAGAAGGTGCCAAAAGTAGTCTTTGCATCCACCTGCACGACGGGAATGTCGCATGAATGGGCAGACATCAACCACGAGCTTCGTATCCAGGAACGGATGATCGACAAGCGAGAGGGTGTTGCTCCTGGCTAGAAGCACGCTTGACAACCATGCTTTGGCTGCCTCTCGTTTATGTTGAACTTCGAAGTCCTGAATAGGGCCATGTTCTCACCGTTGACCCGTCAAAGCCTCCGGAACAGGACATCATTCGTTACCATGTGTCTCGGAAAAAGCAAGACGCAGACAAACATGAGAAATTGCGGGGTTAAGCGACATCAATATTGCGGCTGGCGTCCCCATTGAGATTTGCAGCTGGAAGGGGGAGCTGAGAGGCTTGCCTGGGCCGCGCCTCTTTTCCACCTGCATATCAAATCCTTCGGAACCCCCCTTGACTAGGGGAACAAATTTTTAATCTGGAGCATATGGATATACTGGACGAAATGAAGCGCTTAAAGAGGGGTGGGGAACCTCTGGTGTGCCGCGGATGCCTCTGGAAAAAGCCTGCAACTGCAGCACTGCGTGGGCAATGGGACATTCCAAATCCAGTCGAGAAAATCAGGTAAGAAATCTCTGAAGAACTCGCATTCTCGTATATACACGACAATCCAACCAAAACGCCTTCGCTTTCGAAGCCACTAGCGGAAGGCGCCGTGCGTGGCACCACGCCAACCTAACGCCACAATTTATGACAGTATATTGCCATGGTATCGTTACAGAGTTGGTATACGATGGGCTCAGAAGCCCATACCATCTCCCAAATCCCCACCACTACTGAAACCCAAAAGATCATCCGCACCACCTCCCATCAGACCTTGCATCAAATCATCATGAGGATCTCCCAATCCCAAGTCCGTCCCATCTCCAAGACCATCACCATGCAGCGCCGCATTAGTAGCAAGAGCGTCCATATCGACAGCTTCAATCGCGCTGTTGAGATCACCGAGTGCATCGTGCTGCAGCATAGCTTGCTGCGGCATATTCAGTTGTGCTTCGACTTTTCGATATAGGCGGACGATGGTTTCGGCATGGAAAGGGTCGGTCTTATGGAGCTTGGGAGCATTATCTGCTTCCATCTTCAGGGCTTCGCGGAGGTTCATGCGCCGTTCTTGGGTACTGATGGTTGCGGCACCCATGATGTCTGTCTGAATACCTGCGTCCCAGCTGGCTGCATCGGGAGCGCAGATGATGGCGCACGCGACGTCGAGTGCGACACTTCCGTTACCTGCTGTTGACTGTGATTTGAGTTCGTCGAGGATGGCGCAGAGGACTCGTTTAGCGGTCAGCATTTTGACGGCGACAAGGATTTGGCGGTGGGTGTAGTTGGCTGGATTGCTGTTGAGGGCTGGATTGAGACCCCATTGGATGAGATGGGTCATTGTCGATTTCACAGCGACTACCAGCCCGCCATTTGGTGAAGCTGTCCATGACTCTAGCTCTGTGTGGCCTGCTGCACCTCGTCTTTCCCACCCCAAGTTACCACGGAGCGTCTTCAGAAGCGGTTCGATGTCCTGTCTTGATGGTTCGGCTCGCTGAAGCCATCGGAGACTATGTTCTAGATTCTTAGCCACGATGTTCAGAATCGAATTGAGCATCTGAGAGGCCTCGGTGTTATTTGATATTGATGTCGGACTTGTGATGAGTGCAGATAATATCTGAAGCACTGCATTGCCATCACCTCGAGATTCCCAGAGATGACAAGCAAGCCAGGTGATGCCGGGGACGAGTGATGGAAGAAGGAAGGTATCGACCAGGTATTCAAGGCCACCCTTTAGGGCGTCCTCAGAGAGATTCTTGGTCGAGCATCCCAGTACAATTTCATGGAACAATGTTGGCACCAAGAGGTAGAAATCTTGTGGTGGACAAGAAGACATGAGCTCATCCCCAAGTCCTCCGCTCTCATTGTCAAATAGTCCTTTGATCCAGCCATCGAGGTGAGTTTGCTCCTGTTCAGACAGCTGTTCCATCTTTCGGCTGAGATGGCCTTGATTCAAAAGTTTTGCCACGAAGGAGTCTGTATTCCTGATTCCAAGGTCGACTGTTGATAGGTTATACCGGTTGGCGTACGATAGAACTAGGAGGAGGATCGAACCGAACTCTTCATATACGGGCTGGTATTCTCCTTGGTCCTCGTCATAGTGCCAGTTGTCGAGTAAGTCACAGATAGGCTGAAGGAATGATGTCGGCTTGTCGAAAAGTAGCATCACATCGAGTGACGACGGTATTTTGACAAGCTTACTGCACAAACCCTTCAGAGACATCGTTTCCTTATTGCCACACAGCCGTGCAATGACCTCGCATGGTTAGTCAGAATGCTGCGGGGATGTATCTGGAGACTTACTTCGGTAATGGCTTGACTGACCGCGCCAGCATTTCCATTCATTAGTTGCAAGTCATCAATCAACCGTTCAGCTCTCTCTGGATCCGACAAGCACTGCTGAACCAAGTCATCCTTGGCATAGCGTCCTTCCGCCGGTAAGCTTTGCAGCGGCTCGTCCCCTAGGACGTCTATGATATTTGCCTCCTCTACCAATCCATGGAGACAACATGCGAAGCAGAAGTCGGTACGGACAGAATCTGGAAACATGTTACCGCCACTGGACTCGTCGAACATGTTTGAATCTGTGGGGAAGACGTTGATATCGACTTGTCTCAGCGCTTCAGTAATGCAATATTCTGCTGTGAGAGGTGGGAACAGAGATGAAGACAAAGTCGACAGTAGAAGAGGTATTTTGTTGATGACGAATGATCTAAGAACGGTCGTTGATTGTGCGCGTTCCTTCCGAGATTGTGCATTTGCAAGAATATCAAAGGCTGCAAGTATAATATCGACCATGGTGGACCGGATATCGCCCTGAGACCGTTAGCAGGAGGAAGGAAGATGCTGTGTGTAGAGCTACCTGGTATCTATTGTGTAGGTATGCAAAAATGGCACTATCGTCAATCAAAGGTCTCGCAATGAGCTGTTTACAATCAGCACTTAGTTTGGAGGAAGGCAGCTTGATTGGTCCTACCAAGGAATTGAAGTAAACATATAACCCCGCCCGCGTATTCATCACTGGCATTTCCTCCACAACCATGCTATCCACACCTAGCTGTAATCGATCTTCAAGTATGTCTTCAATCTCCTTGTCTGCTGCGGCCATGGGTTCTTTGATCTCTACCGGCTCAAGATTTACAAGCGTTTCTGTTCGGAACACTTCCAGCCTTGCAGCGCCTTGGGGACTGCACTGTAATAGCAGAGGTACAAACCCCTCCAAAGCCTTCCCAAGATTTTTCCTGGTTGGTTTCGGAACCGCTCTGGTTCCCAAAGCATGAACCACTCTCGCATTTTCCACCGCAGCTATCACTAAAGTGCCCAGTGCCATGTGCTGCGCTGACATCTCTGCCGTATGTGTGGGAGCCAGACTCAACATTTCGTGACCTACACGGCTGGCAGATACCACGGTTTCCATCCATTGTATGCATACTGCGATCAGTTCCACTGCTTCTTGTATATCCCGAGGGGAGGTTCCAGAGGATATGTATTTCGTGATGCGATAGAAGAGCGTCTCCTCGGTGGTATATGAGTTTTTCCACCTTCTGCCAGTCTTCGCCTTCCCAGTTCCATCATTCTCGCCTTCTTTTGCTTCTGCATCCCCACGTAGCTGGTCTCGGAAGCTCGAAACTTTCCATAGTCCCCTCAACGCTGTCGGCACATTGACCTGGCCGGAGCTCAAAAGGACTTGGATATATTGGACAACGAGTGGATCGAGCGCATAATCGCTCTCCTCTCGCGGCGCAAGAAATAAGTCGACTATTCGAGGAGGCGGAAGGGGCGCCTGGGTGTCGAGGACCGAGAGGTAGGTTGTGAAGGTTTCGGGGTCAAGTCGCGATTCAATGCAGCGGGTAAGGAAGGTCTGCCATGCTGACAGACTGCCAGACATCTTGATGGCTTTTTGAAATCGGAATCATGGATTGCGCATCGTTGGAAGCTCACGGGTGGTCGTACGAGCTCTGTATCCGTGGAAGTCTGGGAGCTTCATGGATTGAAAGTGACGCGACAAGCCTGCCAAGGCTCAGCCTGGTCTCCACGTGACAGAGCCGAATGATTCGCGAAAAGAAAGTAAACAATCAAACTTTACGATGAGTCAAGCCCATGGTTGATCAAGCGCCGCGAATTTTACAACTATAGCTTAGGCCTTCATGAAGGTAATTTATCATTTATGACACTTTCACCAACAGGGGGGATCATTGCAGTGCAGCCCCTCGACAGCCTCGCGCTAAGGAAATCTAAGCGATAAAACACCACCAGCACCAAAAGAAACACATCTCCAGCTTCAAAAATTCTTCAAAAAATGACATGACAGTCGCAATTGACTGCCCATAGACGGAATCGAACCGGCAACCTCGTCATTACTAGTGACGCGCTCTACCACTATTGAATGGTCAGTGAAATGCTCTTGGAGACAAGTTTGAACGGGGTGAAGTACTTGAGCTATACGGGCTGTTTGCCAGAGGCACGTTTTACTGTGCTGATGGTGGGAAACCTACTATTTGGGTAGATAGATCAAATAAGACTTTCCTAGGGTAGGGTTTGTCCAAGGAGTAGACGCTGTGGATGATTGAATGTGGAGTCGAGTGGATTCATGTGTGGAGGTTATTATTCACGAGAATGCTCGCTAATGCAGGGCTGGTCAGGGGTCAGATACGAGGATTTTGATGAAAGTAAACATTGAAACGTGTTGACTGAGTGCAGCCATTTACGTGTGAGCTTGCAATGGGCTCTTTTGCTCAAGAAAAGTTTCAACTTTCTGACCTCACCAAATTTCCGACAGCCACAGTTTCTCCCTTCACACTGGACCCGACGAATCGGGCACCAATACTAAGGATCTATTGATCGTAGAAGCCATGGAAGTTCAGTAGCAAGCCAGACAAGTGTTGAGCTTACTCACTATAACGATCGACTTCATGTCAGTTTCCCAATTATCTGTGACGCTAATGTAACCATCACCCACCGGTCGCTCCCTTGGACTTTATATATCACCGAGAAATTCCAAAACATCATATTCAACTATGTAAAATACAGCGTACAGGTAGGTATACTAGACCTACACTTAGTATAGAATCGACCAACGAACCATGGAAAGCTCAATCACCTGCTCAAGACCGTTTCAACGGCCCATTGTAAGTCCAGGTTAGAAAGTATTCGGTACACCAGTCTAATATACGTACTCCAGTCGCTCCCACAATTAGCCACACCACACCATTTCCCGCGATGAAAAATATCGTCAATTTAAATTTATCCACATCAAGAAGAGTTCTTGCCTTCATTCCTCACTTCTCGCCTTACCACACCACCACAAAACATCCCTCCACAATCCACCATCAATCAATTCACCATCCTACAAACAAACCATCCCCTCTCCTGCTCCCGCCCTCCACCCTCCCAAACCCCCTCTTCAACTCCAGCATCGACGCCATCATACCAGCAGCAGTCGATCTCCGAGACCTCGGCTTACAAGCAGAACTCTACGACGATGTCTTGAGCGTGGGCGTCCGCGACCTTCCTCGTGAACCTGAATCTGAACCTGAATCTGAACCTGAACCTGAACCTGAACCGGAAGCAGCACCAGAACTCCCAGAAAATCACTACCATACTGCAATTAATAACCTACTTGTTACTAAAAGCGTATACGTTCGCGAAATCGCTCCTCGATGAGAAGGATAGGTTGATTGCTGCTGGAATTGCTGCTGCTGGGCCGGAGATTGAGGATGTAATTGAGGCGGTAGTTGCGATTGAGGCTGAGGCAGTACCGAATCCGACTGACACTCTTTCAACAATGTGGATTTCGTGGAAGTCGCCGATTACGTTATTGCTCATTGGAGCGATTTTCCTCCCTATGCTGTGTTCCTGGATGTATGTCGCTTCCCCTTCCCCTTCCTCTAATTTCAATCCCATCTCCCCTTCCTTTCCTCCTGAGATCTGGTCAAGAGGCGAGATTCTAATCCTGAACCTAAATTGTAGTGAGTTCCAATACCACAAATGGCAACTTCGCGATGTTCGTGTAATCCCGATTCGGTCTGCTCGAGGCGAAACGTTTCTTGTCGGAAGACGAGAGCTGGGTGAGAAGAGAGGTGGGGATAGGAGTCTGAATGAGGAGATTAGGGATTTGTGTGATAGGATACGGGATCTGAAGGGGAGGTTCATTATCTCTTAGGGAAGCGAGAAGAGGAGGGATAGATGGCAGAAGCGCGGGGAATGGCAATGATGAGGAGGAGGAGGAGGAGGCGGATGAGATGGATGAGCATGAGGATTGGGAGAAAGACTTCATCATATTTGATTTTTGAGGAGGGAGAGTGTCCATGGACAAGCGCAGGTGGCCTGTAACCACTAGCCCGCTATAGTAACGTGCAAGTTCCGTCCAGCTTGGACTATCGATGCTCGCGCCTGTCAGTCTGGTACTGAGCAGAGCACATGTGTACTTTGGGCACTTCAAAATACTACTATTCAGAGTGTTTCAACCTCCATTCCGTGATAATCACATCAGTTTTCCTGACCATGAACCATTAAGAGAGTATGACTGCACTAATCAAAACGCGATTTTACCATTGTTTGAAAGCAAGGATGACATGGCTGATGGATAGGTAGACTGAATGCTCATATTACAGCAATGGTATCTTCTATTTTCATCTCATCAAATGAAAATTCCCCTCACGCTCCACCCTTCCTCTTCCTCCTCATCATTCTCTTCTTCTGAATGATCTGCTCTCTCCTCTGCAATCTCCCCTCCTCACCAGGCGGGAAGCCAGGTTTGAATTTCTTCTCTTCCTTCTCACCACCTTTCCCCTTCTTCGCTTTCTTGCCCGCTCCACCCTCTTCTTCGCCATCTCTCTTCCTCTTCGCAGCCCCCACATCAACCCGCTCAAAACTCTTCTGCGGCTTCCCACCGTCCTCTCCTTTCTTCCCAAATCCAGGCCGTCCAGGCTTCCCCTTCATCCCCACCCTCGTCTTCTTCATAACCTCACTCTTCCTCAACACATTCTTCTCCTTCTCAGGAGCCTCCCCCTTCGCCCTCAATTCCATAACCTCCTTACTCCTCAACCTGGCCTTCTCCTCCTTCTCCTTCCGCCTCTGCACAACCTGCGCATTCTCAATCGCAAACTCCACAATCAATCTCTGTTTCTTCCCTGTCGCAGTGTTCTCTACAGCATGACCATTCAACCATCGTAATCCCATCAGCGCCCAGCGATGAGAACTATATTCTACGAAGCCGTAGCCGCGGGATTTGCCTGCGCCAGACTCCTCGGACACTTTGGCGCCTTCGCGGCCTTCAAAGACGATTTTGGCTTGGCGGACTATGCCCTTTCCTTTGGCTTTGCGCTGTTTCTCGGCTTCACGCATCTCGTCGCCGCCGCGGGCTTCTTCTTCTTTGGAGAGTTGGGCGCGGAGGCCGGACTTCACGTCTGTGGCGAAACCGACGACTGCTTCTCTTGCAAGGGCTTTGAGGTCTTTGGAGTTGATATTTTTGGGGAGATTGCGGAGGGAGAGACGCGTGAGGGAGAGGTGTAGCGTGGGGTTGTTCTGGATGAGCTTTTTGCGCTGCATGGCGGAGTCTTCGCGCATTTTGATCTCTGATGGAGCGAGAGCTTCGTAAAGTGGTGTACCAGCGGCGACGGTTCCTTCGGAGAGGAGGTAGAGTTTGCGCTTGTCTTTGTCGCGCTCTGTGCGGTAGTTTGTGCCGTCGTCCGTGAGCTTGACTGCGGTCTCTTTCTCGACAGCCTTGGAAACTTGGAGGGTGCGTCCATCAATGGTGTACATGCCGGTGGTGTCAGCGCTGTCGTTCTGGAGGACCGAGTGAGAGACTTTGGTAATGGCATTGGCGCCTGTGAGTTGGGTCTTTGGGGCGCCGCGGAAACAGGAGTCGGCGTCTTGGACATTGAAGAAGCAGACGAAGCCTGTACCTTTAGGACGGTCGGTTTGGCGATCCATCACTACACGGGCGTAGCGGACAGGACCGAATTGGGAGAAGTGCTCTTTGAGGTCGGCATCATGGGTTGTGAAGGGGAGATTTCGGATGAAGAGTGTGGTGGAGTTGTCAGTAATGAGAACTTTCTTGGGTTTCTCCTCCTCGATTTCTTCTTCGGTCTCTTCTTCCGCATCGTCTTCCCAGACCTCGTCCTCTTCCTTTATCTCCTCGTCTAATTCCTCGTCCTCATCCTCCTCGTCCTCCTTAGGATCCTCATCGTCTTCATCCTCAGACTCCAGTTGATCGCCAAAGTTCTTGAAGAAGTTTGCGACATCATCCTCTTCGTCTGAATCTTCTGCAGGCTTCTTCTCTGCTGCCTTCTTGGCCGGTTTCTTCTTTTTCTCTGCCAATTTGACACCACCTTCATCCTCGTCAGACTCCTCCGCCTTACTGGACTTATTCTGGGTTTCCCAAACTTCCTTGTCAACAGCCCAATCCACAGCGACCATTCTACCATCTATCAATGTACCGTTGACCGTAGCGAGAGCCTTCTCAGCATTCTTCTTACCCCGCATCGTGATGAAACCAAAGCCAGCTTGTGTATCCTTGTTCTTTGGTAGCACAGAGAATTTGACCTTTCCAAAACCCTGGAAAAGAGCTGCAAGCTTTTCTGGTGTATTGACACTCCACGGCAGATTTCGAATAATCAACTTGGGGGGCTTCTTGTCCTCAGCCATCTTGTCCAATCGAGCCTTCTTGATCGCAGCAGCTTCAGCAGATATCGTACTTTTCCGCTTGCCCTCCAATCCATCTCCCTTGCTCATCTCTCTTGACCGTGGCTGCGCGATCTCGATTTTCATCTTCCTGCCCAAGAAAGTTTGCCCATTGAACTCGTCAAGAGCTCTCTGTGCATCCTCCGCATCTGCCAAGGTAACAAATCCATATCCTTTCGATTGCTTTGTTTCTGGATCTAGGACGACAGTCGCGTGTTTGAGAGGGTAGTTTTGGGAGAACAATTCGGTCAAGGCATCGCTTGTTGCAATTGCGGGTAGAGATCGCACAAATAGTGTTCGTTGAGCGGATGCATTGGTTTCTTTGCGTGGTTTTTTGGAGGGAGGATCCTGGGCAGTTGTAGGCACAGCTTCGATGTCCTCATCCCCCTCTTCTTGGTTTCGTTGACGTTTACCCATTTTGTGCGGGTTGAGGAGAAGTAGAAGTACTTGGTGGTGGGATGTATTTCTGGCTGTGAACTTTTTCTGATGCTCTGGTTTTATCGGATCGGAACTAATCCCTTTCAAGGTTAGCTCGACTTGCTAGTGTGGTTGATTGACTCGAGGGCCAAGGCTGAGCTTGAGCGTGAACCTGGACGTGGTGGACGTGAGCCGGGAGGGATGAGCGACGAGCCCACGAGCCCCTAGCGGAGGAAGTAGCGCTGCTGTGCTCTGGTTTGCTTTTGCCTGTGTTTTGCCAGCAGATGCAGATGGCACTCAAGCTCAAGCAGCAAGCAAGGAAATCGTACCCACCATGCCATCAATCAA